TAAAAAAAAAAAAAAAAAAATGTTTGGAGAAATTAATTACTCAATCACTACATAATTAATTTTTATAGATCAATAAAATTTATTAGGAACCTAATAAGTTTTTAAAATTATTTTGTACACATAAATTCAGATGTAAGACATAAATTTGATTGATCTTAAGATACATAGTATATCTAAAAAGTATCATGTTACCTTTATTTAATTTAAACATGTGCATACTGACGACATTTCTTTAAAATCATCAAAGGTAATATAAATAACATTATTATTTTGTTTGATGGGGAACGAGGTGAATACTCAAAACAAATAGAAAAACACTCAGATACCATCTTTATAATATTGGAAGATTAATTTATATAAAATAAAATATAAATGCAATTTGTTCATGATTGAATAAATCCAAAAATGAAAATATTAACTTCCATACTCTTTTAAAGTATCATCAAAAAATCCCATTAAATGTCTAACCTTATCAACATTTTGTCTCATAAACATATTATTTTATAACTAAACATTATCACATCGGCATAGTAATTAATATATTTAGTACTCAAAATAAATAAAATGCTACCATTTAAACTATAAATTATTGTTTTGTTTGATGGGGAACGAGGTGAATATTCAAAATAAACAGAAAAACACTCAGATACCATCATTATAATATTGGAAGATTTTTTTATATTATGTAATAAAATATAAATGCAATTTGTTCATGATTGAATAAATTCAAAAATGAAAATACTAACTTCCATAAACTTGTTTGTAGGCCCAATAAATGTCAAATATTTTAAATATTTTAAATTATATAAATATGTTCTACAACTTGATAGATTAAATCTCTAGATTTGGCATTCAGTTAAATTAAATTCAAATATWTATAGTTTTTTCGTACAAAATTGTTTGAAATAGGTACTAAATGATTTAGAGAAACCCTTAATTTGATTTAAATGAATACATGAAGTTTTTAGAATAATAATAATAATTTCACCACATTAGCATTATACATAAGTTTAATTTGATTGATGCAAGAAAGATATTAACACCAATCAATAGCTAGATAGTATTGACCAAGAAAATATTATTAAAGATTAAATGAAATTTTTCATTATTAACAAGCAATAGGAAGTAAATTGTTATAACTACATTATTATACTGTCTATAAATACATAATTCATTTCTTGTAATAATACTATAGTACTAACACTGTTAGAAAATAATTTACTTTTAATGGTTGTTTTTTTAAGTTTTAGTGATACATATGCTTAATTTCAATTATTGTATGGAGTTGCTTAATTTATTTTGCGCCAATATATAATATAATTTTCATTCACATACTAGGAATATCTAAAGTTGAGTCTTGATAACTCAAATCATTAGAAGCACCTATAAAAATTAATATGATATATATTTTTCAAGTTAAATCACAAATATAACAGCACAATGATTATAGCCAGTAGGTGTTGGGAGCTGTTACATGTTATACTTCAGTTTTCTCCATATAGAATAGGAAATTTCTTCCAAAAATGGACAAAAAAAAGGGGCGTTTATTTTATTTACCAGACGTAGTAGAAAAGTTCCCCAAGTTTTTTTGAGTTATTTCAGCTTAACTATATATTTGACTAAAATAAAAAAAAAATTTTAAATTAAAATTTCTAAACAACATTAAAAAATAATAAAATTGTTTAAATCAAATAATTAATTCAGTCATTAAAAAGATGTCATTTTAAGTAATATATACAATTTTACTAACTATAATGGTTTAAAACTTGTCAAATATCATCTGTATTTATTAATAATCAATAAATAATAGCAAAACACCTTAGTAAATTGAAGTATRATACATAATATATTAAATGAACTATGTATGGAAATAAGATAACTCAATCTAAAGTTAATTATAAAATAAAAACTAATCATAGGTAAATGATATTTTTGAATTATGAAGTTGTGTAATAGTGTTTTGATTAGATATAGTTGTTGATGAAAAAAAGCAAATAAATTGTTAATTATTAAAATTATTAAGACAAAGAACAGAACAAAGAAAACAATGATGCATTGTTGCAAGTGTCAATAAATTTAGAGTAAAAATATAAATTATTAGTTTAGCTATTATGTGTTAAACAAACATAAATTACCTGGTTCTACTGCTCCGGAATTATCCGGTTTGTTCCTCAAATGAGGTGGAACGTATTTACTTGGAGCCGAACTGGGCTGTGATTTGCCCTGCAAGTCCAGACCAGCAAACTGGAAAAATGAATCAATTTAACTATAAGAATGATCACTTATATTTATTACACTCTATAAAAATTAGTGAATGTAAACTAGCGGCAYTATTCTAAGACGGCGGTAACCTAGACAATGAAAATTCGCACGTATCTTAACCTAGTTGATGAACAATAAAACGAACAAATGAAATTCTTACCTGCTGCTCTAGACCTGATCCATTTTGATTGGGTACATTACTCATATTATTACAAATCGGCGACGATGAATACGTTGCTGCACTTGCGAGTGTAAATCAACAAAACGAACTTACAAAAATTAAATCGCTGTAATGAAAAGTATTATGGCAAATGCCAATAATGGCCGACTGGATTGAAAGGAGACAGACAGCTGATAACCTTGAATGCGACGTTACCATTTCGTCGGTTATAACCAAAATKTATTTGCTCTTTTTAGGAATTCTATAAATATTTAAATTATTCTATTCGCAAAAAATAGCTATTTGACATAAGAGATAAATTTAAATTTGTTAAATTGAAGGTTTTGTTTAAAAATAGAAAATAGTTCTCAATTCAATTTATTTTTCTTAACGAATAATAGTTGGTTGCACTGTGTGCCTCGGGCTAGCATCACGTCCGTGTGCGTCCGCACTGATTACAATGTTTTTTTGATTTCACGAGTCTTTCCCAAGTGAAACAGTTCCCCGAGTAGTCATCTTGARAAACCGAAAAACGTAAGTATAATTTTTTTTATCTTTATTTATCTTACCAATCCTAATTTAACTTACAGACATCTATCTTAGATTCGGCTTAAGTTCGTATTGCGATCAAAATATATTACTGTCTTCAACGTATACATTTATCAACCGGTGTTCGAATCTCTAGTGTGAATTGGTACCTTCTCCGGGTTTTCAGTATGTGTAGTTTGAATATCGAGTGTCTCAAGTCGATTTGAAATAATTGACGCAATATTTTTAACAATGTTCACTGYGTACTACTTTTCCATTTTGTTTTTGTATCTAAGCCGAATCTTTTGATTGAAGATTCTACTTGTAGCTTACAACAGATTTATTTATTTGGTTCGTTTYGCAGGTATCATAATGGGTAGGGTTATTCGTGCTCAGAGAAAAGGTGCGGGAAGCGTTTTCCGTTCCCATACTAAACACCGTAAAGGCGCTCCAAAACTCAGGAACTTGGACTACTCTGAAAAATATGGTTATATCAAAGGAGTCGTTAAGGTAACTATCACAATTTATTTTTATTGAAATACAATTGAAAATACTCAGGTTTATTAAGTTCTTCCAATATTTTTCAAATAATACTTAAATTATGTATATATTCCTATCATATTTATGATATTTATATCACTCAACTGTAGAAAAACTWAATTTTTAATTTTTAAATTGTATAGCTGTATGTACCTATTTAAAAAAAAATAATATTGTGTTTAAAACAACTATTAGATATTTAAATATGTCTTAACTTATCTTTAATTTGCATCATGTTTTTTGATATTAATAAAGTATAATCTTTAGTTAATGATTTTTGTGTTGTAGGACATTATTCACGATCCTGGTCGTGGAGCTCCTTTAGCTGTTGTTCACTTTAGGGACCCATACAAATATAAGACAAGAAAAGAGTTATTCATTGCACCAGAAGGTGTTTACACAGGTCAATTTTTATACTGTGGAAAGAAAGGTATGGCATTAAATAATAAGTAAATAATAGAACTATTACTTCAACTATATTCTTATATTTGGTTATTTTTAGCTAAATTGAACATTGGTAATGTTATGCCTATTGGTGTAATGCCTGAAGGTACTATTATCTGTAATTTGGAAGAAAAAACTGGTGACCGTGGCCGATTAGCTCGTGCTTCTGGTAATTATGCTACTGTTGTTGCCCACAATCCAGACTCTAAAAGAACAAGAGTAAAGTTACCATCTGGTGCCAAAAAAGTTATTCCATCCAACAACCGTGCTATGATTGGTATGTATTGTTACAGAGTTAATCTAACAAACAATATTTTTYGTTGACTTATTCAACAGGGCTTAAGTTATACCATGAATATTTTGAATCATTTTTGTAATTAAATATTTGCACTATCTCTACAGCCTACAGTCACAATATATTATTCTTCTATACATATTTTYATAATATAATATTAATAATGTATTGTGCAGAAGAYGGTGTCTTTAATTTTAATCTCGCCAATGAAAACTTCATATTGTTTTTGTGGTCAGATTCGTTAA